GGTTAGGACCTAGGCAGGAATAAGAAGGGGTAGGGAAGGGAACTGGATAGGTGGGTTAGGACCTAGGTGGGGATAGGAGTGGATAGGGAAGGGAACTGGATGGGTGGGCACACCCCTACATCCTATTTCCATTCATTCGTGATATATTCGGGGCTGCCAGCCTGCCTTCACTCAACACACATTCCCACATGGCTGACTCTTTGCTGGGTGTCCAGGATATAGAGGTTACTGAGATCCCGTCCTTGTCTTCGAGCTGTTCACAGCACAAGGGAGGCAAGTCCACAGTCAGTAGTGCTGTTAAGGGTTCAGTGAGGAGGACCTGTGTTCGTGGTAAGGTTGCCAGGGAAGCGTGATGTTGGTGCAGGTGGGAAAACTTGGGGAAACATTCCTGGTAGAACTGGATCTGTGTCACTAGTAAGATCCTACTTGGTGTCTTTTCAGTTTCTTATCCTAGTTTGTGTCTTTTCAGTTTCTTACCTGGCACACGTGTTAACCCTATTTCCTGTCTCATTTTCCAATCCGTTTTCCCCGAAGTATTCTCTAATGGTGCCACCCCTCTGCTCAGACACTTTTTAGTGGCTTCCCCATTACTACTTGCAGAATAAAAGCCAGATTCCTTAGGGAAGTACTGGTAGCCCTCCCTGGACGGAGCCAGCCTCCTTTCCAGCCTCGCCTCCCTCACCCTCCCCCTTGTCGGGACTTAGGCTCAGCCCCCCGGCACTGTTTGACACAGCCCTGGTGCTCCAGGTTCTTTCACACCTGAACGCCCTGGCACAAGCCCGAAACGCTTTTCTTTTCACCACACCCTCAACCTCCTCATTTTCTTGCCAGATCGAACTGTCTGCTCTCCACCCGATGGTCTCTTTCATGTCTGTGCCTAAATTGCTTCCTCTGTTGCAATAACCTTCTTCCTGTCTTTTGTCAGTCTGAAAAAGCACCTTGTCTCTTTCAAAATAAATTCACATACCGCCTCCAGGTGAGCCTTCCCTGTTCCCCCCCCCCCCCCCGATAATGCTGGCTTCCTCCTCTGGGCTCCATTCACACTTTGAGAGTCTCTCACTTTGAGCGCCAGTGTATAATAAGAACTACAGAAGCAACGCATCTTTGCCACCTTGGGAGAGCCAGGCATTAGAAATTGGTTATTTTACTTCTCTGTTTAGGCCCCTATTAAGGGAAAGGGAACGTGCCAGCCAGTGGCTGGTAACTTAACTGGATGTATCTTGTCACTGAGCTCGCGATTCCCTAGATTTGGTGTCTAGCTCTTTCTTGGAATCAGATTTCCTCTCCCGGCTAAGTCAGCAAAACAAACTCTCTTGCAGTTAGTTGCCTGACATTGCAATGTTTTGTGCAATTTATAGGTTCGGGGGCTTGCAGAGCAAGGGATTAAATACACATGAGGCTGACCTGCAGCATTTGGAGAGAAGAGCCAACCCACAGTCAAGCCTTGGACTTGATGATTTTTAGGGCAGAAAATTGGCTTTGAGTCTTGTTATTCAGCCCCACTCCCAGGACACAGTTTTCTGGTCCAACCCCCCCCCACCACTTACTTTATAACCAACAACTTCAAAATGTGGGGAATTTTTAAATAGAATTTTTAACTTTGCCATCTTGAACTAGAAAGGACTGGAAAGAGCCCTGGTTTCCAGTTCTCCACAAATCACTGTGAGTTCCCGCTCTTAGCCTTGTCTTCCCGACTGCAAAATAAGGAAGTTACATAAGAAATCGCCAGGGTCTCTTCCTAGCTGGAATATTTTCATTCATTTCTTTGATCTGTGTGTCATCCCCCACCGCCGTCAATGTACGATCCTTTTTTATTTTCTTAACACCTTCCACGGGCCTTGTGTCTTGTCTATCATGCACCGGTTAGCGTCACGCAGACTTGTTGATTCCCTACAAGAAACTCCAGGCTCTTCATTTTGACATTCAAGTTCCTCTACAGAGGAACTAAATCTGCCCCCAGGAACACTTCTGAGTATGACTTCTCTCAATCCCAGAACCAACAGACTGTTCACTATTCCCCCTGAATTGCGTGCCCGTTTGGCTCATTCACGTTTTGGCACATACTCTTCTTTGCCTTTGGTGTCTTTTATGATGTCAGCATTAGGCAAGATCCTACACACGCTGTCCCCAGACACTGAACCATAGGAGCCTTTGTTTGGTGTTCTGTAGGATTCTGCATCAAGTTACCTGTTCTGCTCACCCTGTTCCTGTGATGATCTCTGATTTGGATGTTTGGATTCTGCTCATGTTCCTAGAATTAGACTTAGCTCTTGTTCCTGGTACCATGTTTTAGGAACTTTTGTGAGAATCCAGTGAAATGTGATCCTGGACGTCCTTGCTTGTTCCCTTCCCCAGCAGTGACCTTAACCCCTCCTCATCCCCTTCCATTCAACTGATCTTCCTCCAAATAACCGAGGGGCTTAATTAAAGCCGACTCTTGGTCTGCGTGGGCTCCCTTTTCTTACTGCTGCACTTTCAGAGGTGCTTCCCTCCTGCTCAGACTTTCTCCTGTTGCCACCTACTGCACCCACCCTCTCTCACCTGCCCTTTCCTTTCCGCTCTGGGAACGGCTGACCCTAGAAAGCACACGTCTGACCGCTGTCACCACACCTGGCTGAAGCCAGTAACTGTCTCACCTCATGACATGCAATAATTAAGGGAATTCTGGCTTCTTGAGGCTTTAGGAAGCCATGTCCTAGAATAGCAGTCATACTAAGGGCCAGTGACTTCCACTTTAGGGTTCCTAGTGTTTCTGGAGCCATCTCCTTTTTGAGTTTCATAACAACATTATATTCTTGGTCAGAAAGATAGCTCTTTCATAGCATGTATGTTATTTATAAATAAGGCTTGTCTCAGGTGTATATGACTCCAAATACCAGTGCTGCATGTTTATTTCTGTATTACCTTGGGTAAGTTACTGAATCTCCCTGGCCACCCATGTCCTCATCTGTAAAATGATGGTCTTACCTCTATCACCAGGACATTGTGGGGGAGTAAATGGGGTCAGTTACATAGGAGATCTCGTGTGAGGGCTGCACAGTCAGTGCTTCCCACCAGCGGCTCCTTCCCATTCTTCCAATAATAGAAGTGTTTCCTGGATCTGACACATAAATTTCACTCTGGAAAAGGGCTTCCTAAGTTTGAGGACTGCCTGTTGGTCAGCAGGAGCCAGACCAAAGTGGGTCCTTGAATGTCCTTCGGGGGCAGTTCACCTCTTTGCAAAGCCACCTTCTTGCTGCCCGTGACTCTAACAGTCGCAGGTCTGTCTTACTGTGTTTGCATAGCCATCCAGCTTCAACATGTTCTCACTGAAACTTTTAACCACAGGGATCTTGAGAGACCTCTGCCTGAACTTCTGTGGGTACAGAAGCTGATGGAGCTCAGAGAGGGTTTGTTTAGGAAGGTCTCGTAATGGGCTTGTCTGTGCTAGGAGGATTTCAAAGTGATTTATATGCTATCTCATTTAACGTCTGAGGGGCTGGTGTGTGTGTGTGTGTGTGTGTGTGTAGTGCTGTGACTGCAGCTGCTACTGTTACTATTATTATAGTTACTACTACTATTACTATTATTTAATCTAAAGATAGTTGAGACATGTCATAACAAAGTGGTTAAAGTCACGGTGATGGAAGCCAGGCTATCTGCTTCAGAACCAAGCTGTTTTCTCATTATATAATTGGAATGAAAGTATTAATAGTACCATTTCATGATGTGATTCTGAGAATTAAATGTGTTAATATGCATGAAAAGCTCAGAGAAGTATTTGATCAGAATAAGTACGGCAGGGGGGCGGAGGGTGGATCGGGTATAGCTCAATGGTAGAGCGCCTGCCTAGCATGCATGATGTCCTTGGTTCAATCCCCAGTCCCTCTATTAAAAAAATAAATAAACCTAATTACCTGCCCCCTCCAACAAAACAAAACAAAACAAGTAAGAATAAGTACAACGTAAGTTGTAGCTACTGATATTATGTTAATAGTACCATTATTATTATGGCTGTGTGTGCAGCCAGGACTTAGCTTCAATTTCAGGCCAAGGAATTCAGCCTTCAGCTGAACCTGAGAATATATGAGCCCTTGAGATGCCCAGTACGATGTGCTTTTTATGATGTGTATCTCGTCATAGCCTGGTGTGGAATTTTCTTCTGCAGGCTGATTTTCTCAGACGCAGAACCATGCCCAAGTGGTAGGAAAAAAAAGTGCTAAGGGTCCATGTGTCTCAAATTTGGGAATATTAACATGGGGGAGGGCCGGTGGCATGTCAGTGCTGTATAGAGAGAGCTACAAGATAAAGAAAGTATGTTTGCATGGAATTTACTAGAGAAATGTAAATAACTTAAAATTTTAAGTGACATTAAAACATCTGTGAGGATTGGGGTATAGCTCAGTGGTAGAGCATTAGCTTAGCATGGGTGAGGTCCTGGGTTTAATCCCCAGTACCTCCATTAAAAACAAACTCTAGAAATATGGGCCTGAAAGTCATGTTGGCATAATTCTTAGATAAGCCCTTAGTCCTCAAAGACTCTTAAAGAGGTGGCTTTGGGCTCTACCTCCAGGACCACAAGGGGCACCTGATCACTTTCCTCAGTCCTTGTGAGCCCTTGGGGGTGATGTCTGGGAAGTGCTGTCTAGCTGCACACTCTGAGGAAATGATTTGAGAGGACAATAGGGCGTGAGCAGGAGTCCTGCAGGCAGTAGTTGTGGGGCACACGTTTCTGGGGAGAAGAACAGCGTGATCCGAGTGGAATTAATTTTTGAAGATCATGGGTTGCAGCATGTAGCCGTGAACAGTTAAGTGGAAGAGCCTGGAGGCAGGGGGGCTGGTTCAGAGGCTTCTGCAGTCATCCAGAAAGGAGGAGAAGGTGCCGGCTGATGGTCAGTGCTCCTCACGAGGCCATAGCCTCAGGCTGGGGAGACAGATTAATGCAGCAGGGGCAGGACCAGGGGCACTTGGGCCGCTCCTTCATGGAACTCGCCTGTGCCTTCAGCACCAGTGTGAGCCCGGTCTCATCTGTACCACTTCCGTCTAATGATGGAAGTGTGGCTGTGCACGCCCAACTCTGCGGCTTCGTGGGTCAGACATCAGGTTCACGACAGGCAGCTTAGGTCACGGCAACTCGGTGGCCCGTAGCTAAGCGTTGGGCCTCTACTGAGGCAGTAACAAGCCAGGGAAGTGCTGCAGGGATGGAGAGAAGGCAGACACTGTGAGAGCAATGTGAACGGAGGCAGAAAGACACGTCAATGTAGAAGGAAGCCAGTATGCCACTGGTCTGAGACCGGATGCCAGAAGGGATGGGGGAAACTGCACAGGAGGTTACAAGACATGATTTGTATTTTTTCATATTTAAATGAGGATACACTGCATGTGGAATGGGTATTAAAGACAGTATTTTAGATACCATATGATATCACTCATGTGTGGAATCTAAGAGAGAGAGAGAAAAGAAGACACTAATGAATTTATCTACAAAACAGAAACAGACTCACATCAGTAATCCACCTTACAGTTACTGGGGGGAAAGGGGATGGGAAGGGATAAATCAAGAGTTCAAGATTTTCAAATATTAACTACTGTGTATAAAATATATAAACAACAGAAACAGAAGTTTCTTCTGTACAGCACAGGGAACTATATTCAGTATTTTGTAGTAACCTATAGTGAAAAAGAATATGAAAAGGAATATATGTATGTATATGTATGACTGAAGCATTATGCTGTACACCAGAAATTGACACAACATTGTAAACTGACTATACTTCAATTAAAAATATAGATTTTAGGAGTTCGGGAAGGGGGACAAGAGTGATGAGCTGGATGCACTGAAGAGGTGGGGATAAGAGAAGCTTCTAAAAGAGATGGCACCTGGCTGGACCCTCGAAGACTTGGTTGGACTTCGGGGGAATGGTAAACATTCCAGAGGAGGAAAAGGCATCAAGCCCTAAGTCCTTAAAATAATGTAACTTGGCTCCTTTGATTCACAGGAGAGGAATTCACCCCAGGCCATTGGCCAAGTGAGAGAGCTCAAAGGTCAAGGATAGTACTTTTTTTTTTGTAGCGTTTCTCATTTTTTGAGCTTAAGTGAAGCTGAACCTTGCAGGGCAATGAGCACATGTTACGTATCTCCAAAGCCAGGAGGCTTCATGGCCAGGAAGCTGTGCTGGTTGGATAGTAATACAAATGACTAATGTACCCTCTGAGGTCTCATGTGGTTTGAGACCTGGCACACTGGGCCAGGCAGCAAACAGGCGGGGGCTCCAAGTAAGGGTGATTAAACCAGAATCAGCCCAGTGTGATGAAGAGAATGTTGTTTGGGAAATTATGAGAGTTTCTCACTCTGGTGGCTCTAAACAAGCCAAGTTCCTTCTCTGGGTTTCAGTTTTCCACATTTATGTCTCGATATAATATACTACGGGGCCAGGAATTACCAGCAAGTGTATGCCTTGCTGGCCGGGGCTGCCTCCCGTGATAGGTCCTAACTCCAACCACATATGGACCCAGACTTAGGGACAAGTCATTTTGCACTTGTTCCTACTCATCCTTTACGATCCAGTTAGCTGTCGTCTTCACTGGGGGGCTCTAACTCCCCCACACAGAGGTGGTCACTGCTTCCACGGTGCTTGGAGTATGTAATTGTCACAATGGGGACCTTGGAAAGGAAATCTCAAAAGGGCCATGTCCTCTCTCTGGCCCATGGGCATTTCAAATGAGGTAAGTCTTTGAATAAGGCTTTTCGGAATAGAATGCTCAGCCTCTAACACTGAGCCTGCCTGGAGAAAAGGGGGATAAATGAGACCCTGACCCCTTAGGTATGTGAAATTGCTCCTGTCTTTTACTTGGTCTGTGTGAGTGAGTAACCTCTTCATCTGCTTGAGAGTCAGCATATGTTTCTTCCAAAGCTTGGACTGCTAGATACCCCAGAAAACCATCTCCTGATTTATACCTTGGCACTTCCCAGAAAGTTATCTGGAAAGTCAGGGAAAGTGGGGTTTTCTCCCAGGCAGAGGGGCTGGGGGTGAATTTACTTCCTTCTTAATCAGATGATAGCAGAAGAGGCTTGCAGATGGATTGGCAAGGCTGGGCTGCTCTGTGCCTGGCAGACACTCAGCTGGGCTTAGCTGTGTTCATCCTGGTGCCAAAAAGACTCACCCACAGAGCAGGGCTTCACCTCTAGGAGACCCCAAGAGCAGCCGCCCCCAGTCTGCACTCACCTCTGCTCTGCTGAGACAAGCACTGTGGAACCTACTACCCAGCCATGTGTCCTTCTCCAGATGCTGAAAGGGGTTCTGCTCAGAGCACCTCCTTTGTACAGGGTGATTCAGATGACAGTCACTGAACCCCTACTCAGCCTTACACTGTGTGATCTGTATTTGCTCACTGCATCTTTACCAGCCCAAGAAGCCATGACATGATTCTGTTTAACACACAGGGAGACCAGAACCAGAAAATCTGTGACACCAGAATTCTTTCATTTCTCTGAGCTGCAAAAACTGAATTCTTTCCTTTCTAGGATACTGTGGAATGGGGGAATATCTATATTTCACCTTCAGAGGAAGACATTAATAATCAAAACACAATAATAACTATTGCAAGAATTGTTGTACCATTCATCAAGCTATTGCTGGGCATGTGTAAAGCAGTGGTCCTCTACAGGGAGCAATTCTGACCCCCTGGGGGACATTTGATAATGTCTACAGACACATTTGGGTGCTATGGCATCTAGCAGGTAGAGGCCACGGATGTTGCTAAACATCATATAATGCACAGGGAAGCCCTCATAACAAAGAGTTATCTGGTCCAAAATGCTAGTAGTGTGGAGGTTGGGAAAGCCTAATGTAAATCATTTGAATGGCTTATGTCTTTTTATCCTTATTAAAACCCAGCAAGGTAAGTATAATTATTGTCCCTTTAAGACACGAAGAGTGAGAAACACAGATTGGTTAGGTAACTTCTCCCACGATGATACAAGGAAGTGATAATGGTAGGAATTTGAATCCAAGGATCTGAGTCCGGGACTCCTGATCAGAGCAGTGTCATTAGCTTATTTGGGGTTCTATATCATCTTTGTCAGTCCAGGCTGCTATAACAGACTGTGTGGCTTATCAAATATAGAAATTTATTTCTTATAGTCTGGAAGCAGGGAAGTCCAAGTTCAAGATGCCAGCAAATTTGATGTCTGGTGAGCATCCGCTTCCTGGCTCATCGATGGCCATGTTTTTGCTGTGTCCTCACATGGCAGAAGTGGTGAGGGAGCTCTCTGGAGCCTCTTTTATAAGGGCAAAAATCCTGTTCATGAGGACTTCACTGTTATGGTCTAAGCACCTCCCAAAGACCCTCACCTCTGAATACCATCACACTGGGATTGAGTTTAACATACGGATTTCACAGGGACACAAACCTGCAGCCTACAGCACTCACAGCTCCTAAGGGAGTGCCTGGTGCTTATGGAAGGGGCTGTCCTGGGAAGGGATGGTCTGTGAGTTGCTCTGTCCACAGAGGAGCTGGTATGGACCAAGCACTCACTGAGGGCTGGGAAGCTTCGAGAAGCAGCAGATAGTTCTTGAGGTAGAGCAAGTCCTTAAAGTCATAGAAAAGTCTGGCTGAAAGGAATTCTGGGCTATAATCAGACTTATCTAAGGTCCGATATGGCATGTAGATGGCGGGGTCTGGGCTCCAACCCACCCTCCACGCTCCCCAGTCAGGACTACTCACAAGGTCATGTTGTGTTTAAATATGAAAAGCAAAGTGAAAGTGCTTAAAAAGAGGACAGGTGATACAGGAACATGAGGGATAAATACGTCAACATGGGTTTTTTCAGGGGAGGAGAATGCCTTAAATCCTTTCAAATGCACACATCTCCAGAATGTACCTAACATGAAGTGTTCATGGTGAAGACCACAGGGAAGTGTCTTCAGGCAACTTCCACCATACCACCTCCTTGAACCCCATGCAAGTCGCATCTATGGCTTTGTGCTCATGGTTGACCGTGCACAGATGTGATCCTATTTGTGTAGCCCCAAAGTATTTGCTATTGATATTCAATAATGCAGATTTTTTTGTTTCGTTTTATTCTTTGAGTCTTCCCCTTCTTTTTTTTTTTTTTTTTTTGAGTATAGTCAGTGTATAATGTGTCAATTTCTGGTGTACATCATTATGTTTCAGTCATACATGTACATACATATATTCCTTTTCATATTCTTTTTCATTATAGGTTACTACAAAATATTGAATATAGTTCCCTGTGCTATACAGTAGAAACTTACCTATTTTATATATAGTAGTTAGTATCCACAAATCTCGAACTCCCAATTTGTCCCTTCCCACCCCCTTTACCTCTGGTAACCACAAATTGGTTTTCTATGTCTGTGAGTCTGTTTCTATTTTGTAAATATACTCTTTGAGTCTTAATCAAGATTCTTAAGTTGACAATTAGTATTTGAGCTGACAACCCCTTCTCACTTTTCAGTTTACATTGCAATTGTCTCAGCCAAAGAGGGTCTCCCTGGTGTTTCTTACATCCCAGTCCCTTACTTTCTATATTTAAAATTCTGATGATTCTTTGCTAATAGGGTTTTGAGAGATCTAGAAGCTATTTAGTGAAGTCCAGACATTTTATGGATATGGTAATTGGGGCTCAGAGGAAAAGGAAATGACTTTGCTATTATAATAATCACCATTATAATAAGCAAGAATTATGGTCATGATTAAGATCTCTGCATGTGTGTATAAAGCTTCCAAGTTTATAAATCATTTTTATTTAACTGATCTTGCTTGAACCACCATAGTAACATCATCAGGCAAAGAGGACAGAGAATAGCCTTCTTATATTTCAGGTGAGAAATGGACTTAGATGAAGTGAAACGGATCCAAATCACACAGTTAAGAGACAGTAATCCTAGTCCCTACACCCAAACCTAGGTCTTACGGCAAATTATTGTGTACTCCTATACACACTATGTCTGTATGTCTCTGCGCATAGCGACTTACTGAGCCAAGCTAATCTCCTACCTTTGTTTATTGCTTTGAAGGGCATAGCAAGGCCAAGTTCAAGGAGTCAGATCTGATTAGGAGAAGCGTGACCTTGGACAAATTATTTAAATTTCTGGACTTCAGTATCTCCATCTGAAAAACAGATTTTTGTATAATTACTGATGATCCATTAGAACCTCTTATAGTAAAATGGTGGTTATAACTATTAAAATGGGCTACTCTGACTTTTTGGCTTCAACTGGCCACCAGTGAGACTTCTGTATGCCTCTTGGAGATGTAAGGTATCACTTTAGCTAGATCTCATTCCTATGACAGATAAAGACCCATTCCCCTCCCTTAATGGGTGATCCCCTAGTCATGGACAAGAAGAAATAAAGCCTAAGTTATGAAGAGCTACAGCAGGGAGGCATCCTTCATGATTAAAGGATAAACAAACACATCTTTTGAGCAAAGTAGACTGTTTCTTTCCAACAATAAAACAACCTTCTGCAGTTATATACAATGGCTGTTTTGAAGCTGGTTTCCCACTGGAGGGTCAGACGGGGGCCGAGACTTCATTATCCTTTCATCTCCAGAATTGACTCCACTTGTAGCTCAGTATGAACCAGCCATGCCCTGTGGCCACCAAAAGAGCTGATTCTGTACCAGGCTGCTTTACTGCTGTGCAGCTTGCAGTGTTGTATCTCCCACATACCTGCACGTGGTACAGGCTCCGTCCATCTCCTTGACACCTTGTGCTCCCCAAGCTCCCCCAGCCTCCTCCTTCTGTGTCTCAGTCTTGGTGAATGACACCAGCATCTCTTTTGTCAATCAAAACAGAAATCTGACAGTTATCTTTGGAAGGCAGAGATAAGTGAAAACCGTGTCCTTTTGAGGCACCTTCCAAGCCCAACCCCTGTTCTAAAATTTTAATCCCACTACCCTCATTCTGACCACTCTCATTTCCCACTTCAACTGTTAAAATAGCCTTTCCTAGCCTGCTTTCAGAAATTTAGTATCACTGGATAGTAATGGTGAGACATACTAGAAATTCTTTCATGAAGGTCTTCATATGCTCCGCTAAGGAGTTAATACTTACTTGGTAAGTAAGAGGGAACCAGGCGATGGTGTCAGATTTGCATTTTAGAAAAATCATTCTGGTTTCAAGTCTAGATGGTGAATTAAATGGTAGAGGATGGAGGCCAGGCTAAAGAGATAATTACAATAATCTAGCTGAAAGGTGACCAGAATCTTAAATAGAGTGGTGGCAGTAGAGGTGGAGCAGAGGAGGTTGTTTGAGAAATAGTAACATGACAGAACTAAAAGGACTGGTATTTAATAGAGTTGGAAGGATGAGGGAACTCAGGATCTAGAATGACGACAAGATTTTTTTTGTCTTGGGAAGGATGGAAACATTTACAATGGAAAAGGAAAAACTCAGTGAGATATCTTTTTTCAGATACCTCAGAGGTTGTCATTAAAATTGATTGATTCAAGCTGTGAATGTCTTTTGAAGGTAAAACAAAAAGGGCTGAGGTTTGGGAGTAGATTTGGTGTGGTACAAATAGAGCTTTCTAAACGGCTGCCGCCAAGTGGGCTCTGATGAGGAGTTCATTGGTTCAGAGATCGGTTCAGTCCTTGGTTGTATAGTTCAAGGTGAATCATTGATTAACATGGAGATTCCTTCAAACATGGTGGTTCTGGGATTCTCTGAGCCCCAGAAGATCAACGTTATGAAGAGACACGGTGACGCCATCAACGTGGCACTGGGCCAGCAATTTGGTGGCCAGTGTTCTGGTCCCAGATCTGTGTCTGCCTAACTTACAGGGTGATATTAAATCGCTTTCTCCCTGGGCTCTGATTTTCACCTATATAAAAGATGAAGAGTTTCATTACATAAAAAGTAAAAGTTCATCTATGTAAAAGAGGAAGAGTAAATAATAATGACAATGAAAAGTCAAATAGTAAGCACCCAGTGAATGGTAGCTGCTCTTGCTGCGGCCGAGCACCATGCCCTATGTTTCATGTGCATTGTGTTCTTTAATCCTTGCAATAGCCCTGTGTTACTCATTCCGCTGATTTACAGATGAGGAGCCTGGGGCTCAGGGAGCTGATCCCCTTTGTCTCTCTCATACTTGGTGATTCTGTTGTTTTAAAGTCCAGGAGACTTGGAGCTGAGTCTTGTTTTCACAGCACTCTAGAGAGAAGTTCCACACTCTGCAGCTGAGGGCCTGCCTTCCTGTGGTTTGATTAGGCCACCTCCCCTGGCTTCTGTAAGAGACCCCAAGATCCTGCTTCTTGTATTTCAACTCAAAGAATCATAACAATACACTTGTTGTCAAGGAACTTAAGGCCAGGTGGGGGCTCTGATTCTATATATAATTTGGGCATAAATGGGCACAAATGATGTATCTGCTTCTCCCTTGAGGTCAGGTACCAGGTCTCGTTCACTTTTATTTACTCAGTGCCTCGCCTAGAAGCCTAGGGTTGGGCACCTCTCAGGCTCTCTGCTAGTGTTTATGGAGTGAAGTACTTATGAAATACTTCATAATGGTTGTGGAAAATGTATTCATAATACTCATTGTAGTATAGGTACATTTCACATCTACTGTGGGCACAGAACTGAGCTTAGGAAATGGGAAAATGACAGATTTCTGGAAGAAAAAAATTAATTTAGGATATTTTGTATCTGAGATAGCCACTAGCATCCAACTGGCTCCTTCCAACAGGCATCTGGATACACCAGATATGATATGATATTTGGTGCATATGATGGAAGGAATACACTGGATTTAGAAATTTCAGGGTGACAGTGTCTAGATAGGTGGCATCTAAGTCCGTGGGACCAGATGAGATTACCTAAGGAGTAAAAGCAGATAGAAAATAGAAAACAACCAGAGAAAGAATCTTGAGACTCTCCAACGTAGATGATTGGGAGGTGAGGAGGAACAAGCAAAAGGAACAAAAAATTATAGCAAATGATATAGGAGAGAGAAACGGAAGCCGAGGGATATGTCACAGAAGCCAGGTGAAGAAAATCATTTAAGGAGAAGGAGTTGATCAACTCATTTAAATTGAGACTTTAAGATAAATAAGCATTTACTACAGAATTGGGCAATATGAAGGTCACAGGTAGCACTGATGAGACCAGTGCAGAGGAGTGGGAAGGGAGCGTCCGCATGGAACAGTGTGGGAGAATTTCCCTGCTTGATCTTACATCCATCCCATCCCATCCCCTTTTCTCACCCTGTTCTACATTGTAGGGAAATACACTTTCAAATATCCTTTGCCAGCTGGTTTCAGACGACCTTGAGCTTATGGGAGACCCCAGCAGGAGACTGGAGGGCACAAGGAGAAGACAAGCCAAAGTGTTTCTCCTCCATTCTCTGTTCTTTGAGTAGCATCTCTAGCAAGACCTGCATTGCCCCCGTGGACCTGGCTACCACTGGATAACCCTCTTTGTCCGTGGTCCAAGCTCCCACTGGGAGGGCCCACTGGTGTTCCAGCTTACCTGGAGCTCTGGAAGCAGCGTCTCCTCCCTGGGTCTCTCTAGCCCTGCAGGTGGTAGTAGCTTTGCTGTGGCTAACACTGGAGTTGCCTCACCTTCCCCTGGTCCGTCTTTCATCTCTTCTCTATGTAGGGCCCACTCCCAGAGACAAGTCTGACTGTCTTCATCCATTTTTGGTCAGCAGAATCTGGGCCCTACGTTCCACACATTCTGGGCCATCATCCAGGCACCCCTGTGGTTTCCGAGCACATTTTTGAGAAGGACATGGGGACCTGAGCCCCAAGAACAACAGTTCCTTGGGTGTTTCTGGAATGACCCGGGGGTAAGGGCTGATAGCCTATTTCTATTTGGCGAGGGTAGAAGCACTCCTCCTGAGGCACAAACCCTTTCCCAGATGTGCTGGCCGGGCTCATCCACAGAAAAGGCTTAAGCAAATAAACCTGCCACTGCAGTTTTCAAGTGTTCCCTCCAAGGAAAGCTGAAAAGAAGGCAACACACATAAACTAACTCAGCAAGCTTTGCATAAATGAGTGGGAGGAAAATGCAATGGGCCACAGAAGTGGAAGGGGGGCCTCAGTTTCACCCCAGCATAGTCTTTTCTAGGTTAACTGTGACTTTCTATATTTTAAAATTCTAAGAGTCTAAGCTTCTTAGACTCTGAGTTTTTCCCTGTAATTCTTGTGTCTCCAGGCCTCCCCAGTCTATGGACGCAGATTGTGACCTCTTAATAATCGTCGTCCACATTTTGCTGGCTGTTTCCCCCACCCCCATCTGCCTCTACAGGCTTGTCAGCCTATTCCAAGTGTCTTCCTGCTGGGCTGGCCTTCTGTTCGCCCAACACCCCTGTCAGGTGGGGCCTCTCCTAGGGCTCCAGCTCCCACAGGCTCCAATGACACTGCTTTCCCCACTTCTCCCTTCAGACCCAGGGGTGGAAAAACCTTCCTTCCTATAGTTGCTGACCCCTGGGAACCTCCCCATCCTTTATTGATTCCCTTAACTCTCTGTGTATCTGTGAAAAGTCCCTTCATTAAATGTGTGTTCCGTTAAGCCCTGCTGAGTAAGCCATCTCTTTTCTGTGTCCCACAGGGAACTTGAATAAATTCAAGCAACCCTTCCACCATGCCATTCAGCACTGGTGGTGTGCCTGCTCTGGGTCACGCAGAGCAGAGGCTTGCGCTCTTGTTCTGACTGCCCTCACTGAGGTGTGTGGCTTGGAAACCACCAGAGGACCTCTCACCCCTTCTGGGTACCCCTTGGCTTGTCTCCTGGTATTCGCAAGGCTTCAGGCTTTTGCAGGGCCACCATGGAGTCACATGTCCTAGAGCTTTCACGGTGCTGAGGCCTTTCTGGTTCTGCTCAGAACTGAGGAGGACACCCCTTTTTCCTCGTGTGAGCATCTCACTGAGTGCAGCTACCCCGGTATCCTACAGAATACCCTCCTTCCCCAGGAAAACAGCATCCTTTAGCCTAAGCCTGGAGACCTCCTGCATGTCTCCGACAGGTTTGTGTCACCTGGCCAGGAGCTGTAAGAGTATTAGGATGAAAAGGATACTGCGACTAAGAAAGTCTGGGCAGCAGTGGATTAAAAAAAAGGTAAAAGAAAGTTTTATTCTAACTACTCAGAGCCTTTCAGTGGACAGTGAATCTCCATAAGGGGACTGTAGCTTCTAGCATCTGTCCATGTTGTCTGGCCGTGGCATACGTCTATCCAGGACTGTTTCCTGGACTATGCTTTTGGGAAGTGCTGGTCTATGGTGTTACTGCTTTCCAATAAGAATAGCGCATTATTTAGTATTTCAATAACAAGGCATTTTGTGTTTTTAAAATGCTGCCTTAGGCAGACAGAATGGGCTTGCCGATGAGAGGCCACTTTGAGGAGAAGCAACATAATGTCATAACTGGGGCTTTGGGCTCAGCCCGACTTGTGTCTGGATTCTGACTCAGTCATTGAGTGGCATGTGACAAACCACTTAACCTTTCTGGGCCTCAGTTTCCACATCAGTAAACTGAAACCAGTAGAGTCTATTCTGAGTGATAATGATGGTAAAGTTTCTACCCCTGGCTCTGAGTCACAGAAAGTGCTCACCAAGTGTGATCTCCTCTTCTTTAGAAACAAATACTCTTCAACAAGCCTGGGCCAGACTGCTCACTACTTACCCGAGGCCTCATTGACTATCTCCTTCCAAATTCTTTCTTATTTTGAACTGCTCCAGCATTTAAAGGCGAGGTGGAGAATAGGTCTCAGTGAACTAGAGAAAGTTAGATCAAGAGACTGTCTTTGTAATCTCAACTCATTAACGATGGCAACTGGTGGAATAGCTCCGAATTCTTGGAACTGGATCTTAACGATTACCCCTGAGGCAAAAGCCACAAGGATTTCTTCATTTCTCATTCCAAATCTGGAAAGAAGTGCTTCCCCCCCAGTTTCTATTTCTTTTTAATGTTGTTACGTAATCCTTATTATAACAGTAATTCACACAAAATCCCACCACCTAACTACATCAGGTATTTTCATTTTTGCTGGTGACTTTTGGTTTTTGTGATAGTGTAAAATATGTCTGAAATAATAATATCAGTAATATCAGAAATTGCTAGACATAATACTAAATACTATTCCAAGTTGATTCTTTATCTTCGAAATTATTTCTAATGATTAGGTGATATTCAGTCCAAGATTATGAGGATTAAATTCAGGTCATCTTTGGGGGCAAAAAGTCTGCTCTGGCTCCTGGTTATATGATCATATCCTCACTGTTGGATAATTTTTTTTAATTTCCAGTTCTTTCCCCATTTCTTTCTTCCATGGCATCTTCATGCATGTATGTCAGGGTGATATTCTGAGATACTAATTATTTTCTGTGTCCATGATCCCCCCTCCTCTCATCCAAACACAGATAGAATGGTCTTACTCCCGCCTAGAGGAGACACTACAAAATCTTCCTCTTCTTGACTTCTGTTTTCAGAAGCTTGAGGGTGGGAGTTTGGGTGCTGGTGGGCTGAAAAGATAGGGCAGCCAGGGGATGTGGGAAGAGGCAGAGGGTCTCAGAGTAAGAGCATGAGTCCTTCTCCTTTCCTCTTTGTTTTGGAGGAGGGGGACCATCT